CAAGGCGTTTGTTTTTCCTCGTGCAGGTCCTCGCCAGAAGTTCTGGAACGATGTGGGCATTACAGGCGTGGGAATGGCAGGGTGAGTGGCCGTACCCTGCCACTTTTGATGGAAGTCCAACACCACATGTTCACGTTGCGACGTTCTCGGATCGTCACATTGATGTGGGACGTTATACTAGTGAGTAGATAAATTACATTCAACCCCCATAAACTGACTTATTTACTGCCAAAGACTCAGGCTGGTGGATGAGAGAAGATCAAAAGAAATCTGGTTTGGAGCACCAACTTTCGGCGTTCGCATCATCAGATGGGCAGAGAAGTAGAGAGAGGCATCTGCGTGACGCCAAGAACCAGAGCGCCGGCACACCGTTCGGTGACCATCGGTCTATATCTGAGTCGCTTAAACACACCGCTCAACAACCATCTGTGCGTCAGCATTTCGCGCAAAGTCAAGCATGGAGCTATCAGGAAAATCCGGGAAGCGCTCCTGACAAGAAAGCACCATTCGAGCATGAGTACCGTTATTGACACGTGACTTTCACTGATCGGCACCCTTCACCTGCGCAATAGCTACCAGTTCTCCACTCAGCCACTAGCTACGAGCAGATGGTAGTGCTGGCGTCAAACTGGTGGAAAATTTGTAAACCGCCAGTCCAACGTCGGCAGCGGGAAGTGTGGGGCAGGGCAGTTTGCCGCTTACTTTTTCCTTGTTCTCCGTTCCTCCTCAACCCATCTGATGGTGATGAATGCCGAAAATTCATGTCCCCATCTAGACTTCTTTCGATCTTCGTTCAACCACCAAGCTACCAACCTTCAGCAGCAAACGTGTCCATGTTGTTAGGGGTTAAAGGCAATCGTTTTCTCCGATATGGTGATGAATGGAAAGCCATCTCGAGTGTTGAGTGATTAGCGAGCAAATTTCAGGGCTGGCGAACGGGAGCTGAAACGCTGCACACGAGCATGGAACCAGACCAAGAGCGCTGACACCTTGTCACAGGAGCATGCCGAATTGAAGTTCAGTGCTCCCACCAGTCGCACTTCGACGGTATGTGGGAATCTCGTGAAATCCGTCAAGTGCCGCTTTGTGAAGCTGATTGGTCTGGGCTTCACTAGGAGCATCACATCTTTTGATGCGACGCCATTTGAGATTCTCAAGCTCGAGCAGCCAGGAGTGACT